GAAAATTAATTCTTTCCATTTCAAGCGCGAAACTATCGAAAGGTTTCAATGCGTCATCAAACATTGCCACGCACACGCCAATTAATTACAAAAAAAATATCAAATTGGAGGACTGAGACCAGATTAAAAATTTATTTTTTCAATTTTTTAAAGAAACGCGCAACCACACTAAAAGATTTTAATGCGGTAACAAATATTGACACGCACGCGCAAATTGATTGAAAACAAAAAAATTACCAGTCACAGTGAAAAGGTTGAGACAAAATTAAAAATTTGTTTTTAATTTCCTACAAAAACGAGAAACTACCAAACGTTTCGAATACAGTATCGATTACTGCCACGCTACTATTAAACGTGTGGTAAAAAATAACTACATCAATAATCCACTTAAGGGGATTAAATTTGTCAACGTTTATTTATGGCTCATATATTTTTATGTGTTTTTACCTTTACATTGAACAATTAAATGACATTTGTGTTTACCGACAGATGGCTGTGCATTTTTCGGTGAAAGATCTCTATGTCGACTGGATTGAACAGTGTTCAACAGTGTCTTTTTCAAACATTGGCGAACACGTGAGGTGAGCAACTGATTATTGAGGGATCACATCAAAATATATTTATTAAAGCAGAAGAAGAGAAAACTCAGTTTCACAGGTATTTACTTTCTACAAAGTAGATTTTTTTTTAATAGGAAATGGACTGTGGCTACGATATACATTTAACGTTTTGACATTACAAATGCTTCGAAGCATTTCTCTTCTCCTTCTTTCTGAAGGAAAAAGGAGAGAAGAACGATGCTTCGATGCGTTTGTAGCTTGTAACGTCAAATACTCAAGTGGAATGAATCGCAGTCTGTATTGTAAATTTATTACATTTCGCATTTAAATGTTATAGTTTGTGGCCACAGGACGCGGAAACGCTTGCCGCGCTGTAAGAAGTGACGTGTTAGCCAATCAACGTATCTCTTTTTCATAAGAACCGACAGTTATTGGCTACTGCGTTGCTTCTCGCAGCACGACAAGCGTTTCCGCATCCTGTGGGCAAGAGCCATTACTTGGACGGTTAGTGAGTACGCAGCAGCGACACATATTGCACGTAAAAATTGATAACCACGATAGCGTGAATCGCCTAATTTCATCGAAATCGGTGAGCAGGGAGCTCTCCTTCAGTTTTATCGTAACCAGTAAGTAGAATTTTATTAAATATCTAACATTTATGCCGGAATGACAATGAACTTTACGTAACGCGACATGACGGAACGCGACTGCGAACGCGACAAAATGCGACGGGACGCAACAAACTTGTTGTGAACCTAAGAACGTACGATAGCCTTCTATTCACACCAAGCTGTCTAATCGTAACGTGAAGCAACGTGCATTTTAGAAATGATTTGACAGCTTGATGTGAATAAAAGGTTATCGTACGTTCTTAGGTTCGCAACAAGTTTGTTGCGTCCCGTCACATTTTGTCGCGTCCGCAGTCGCGTATCGTCGCATCCCGTTGCGTAAAGTTTATCGTAATATGTAGCATTTAACGAGCCTCAGGGCCACTTTGACCAACGCCGGTTAACTTTAATCGACGATTAAGGCCCAGTGTTACAAGTGTCGGTTAACTTTTAATATTAGATTAACTGACTCTTCGTCTCCTTCTAACGTCCCCCTTAGAAAAAGATGAAGAGTGAGTTAATCTAAGATTAAAAGTTAATCAACACTTGTGAAACTGGTCCTAAAGTCAGACAATTGTTGCCTGTTTTTTTCAGCTCGACTTCTTTCCAGTGAGAAAAGACCCATTGAATCGACGTTTAATCAACGTCAAAATCATGATGTCGATTTGATGAGTCATTTCTCGCTGAGCTTGCATGGTTTATTTCTTTATCTCTTTTTCTCTCTGATATGAAAAGAAAAAGAGGAAAATTGAACTATGTAAAAATTAGTACGTCTTGTTTTACGATAATACGGTTTCAAGTTTCGAATAAAAAAAAACAGGCTTTGCAATTTATTTTTCATGTGCATACGTTTTTTCCATGACTTTCGGCAATCTATTTTTCAGCATTTTTATAAATCTGGAAAAATTTACAAAACTTTTTGTCTACTTTGTGATTGATAATTTTCTAATCATTTCGTTAACCATCGTTTATTTGGTATTTTCTGACTGGTTCCAAGTTTTGTGATTACGATTAAATATTTTATTTTGGCTCGAATGCCACAGATTCACGTATGCACATGGAGATAAAAATTATCGAGACCCAACGAGTTTAATTTTTGCACAACGAAACAAAATTACGAATTGAATTTAATATAATTTTGAATGATTTATTTTAATTTTGCAAAAGTAATTTATTATATAAATTTACAAATGCTTAATTTAATATTATTGTAAAATTTTTTATGTACGTTGCAGATTACGAAAGATTGGACATAAATTGTAACAATGGAATCTTCAAGTTGGAGAGACGTTACATCTACACAGTCTGTTTGTGAAGAAACTTTTGTCAAGGATTACACAGAAGCAGAAGCTGAGGAATATTTAAAGGTACAAACATTATCATTTAAAGAATAAAATAAATTTTCGCCAATAATAAAATAAAATCAGTATTTAATGATCGGTCTGACTGGCAATATATTAAAAATTATAACGACGTTTCGACCTCTATTTTGAGTCCTTATCAAGTTTATGATGGATCAATGTGCGTCAAACAATATAAAATTAATCATCGTTGCGTTTTAACAAGGCGGATGGAAAACAGAAATAAACTTTGTGAGGCACGACCGTCACGTATAGCGCCTGACGAACGACTCACAATATAAAATTAATCATCGTTGCGTTTTAACAAGGCGGATGAAAAACGGAAATAAACTTTGTGAGGCATGACCGTCACGTATAGCGCCTGACGAACGACACTGATGATTGATTTTATATTGTTTGACGCACATTGATCCATCATAAACTTGACAAGGACCCAAAATAGAGGTCGAAACGTCGTTATAATTTTTAATATATTGCCAATCAGGCCGATCATTAAATACTGATATTATCATTTAATCATACAAATTTTTTTGCACATTTGAGAGATAAATATTTATTCTGCAAATATAAGACGGACAATCTATTATGTTTCTACATTTGTTTCAGTTTATGGATAATAGAAAAAAAATGGAGAATAAAAAAGAGTCTCGCAAGTTAGATGTGACGTTTCAAGATGTAGAAGACGATATGCAAAAACTCTTTAGAGAAGATCCGGCTAAAGTCTATGGAGAATGCAATTTTCCTAATAGTCCACAATCTAACAACGATTCATCTGTTTTGGCCATGAAGGATAAAATATTATCGACAATCGAAACAAGTTCCGTAATCGTTATTCGAGGACCAACCGGTTGTGGAAAAACCACTCAGATTCCACAATTTATTCTCGATGCCAATATCAAAAAGAGGCTTGACTGCAACGTTATAGGTATTTTTTAAATCAATTTTATTATTACACGTAACATAATACAAATTATACTAAACGTACAATATTGATATAGTTACGCAGCCAAGACGAATCGCCGCGATAAGCATTGCCAAAAGAGTGTGTCATGAAAGAGGTTGGCGTCTTGGCACCCTCGTGGGCTACAAAGTGGATATGCAACAGGAAGTCTCACCGGAAACCCGTTTAACTTATTGCACCACCGAAATTCTCCTGCAACATTTGATTCGTCAAAAGCATTTGTTGGACTATACGCACATTATATTGGACGAAATTCACGAACGCGATCAAAATTTGGATTTTCTTTTACTTGTGATTAAAAGATTATTACAAACAAATTCCAAACAAGTTAAAATTATTCTCATGTCGGCAACAATCGACGTAACGAAATTCGCGAGATACTTTTCTACAAAAGTAGAAAACACGTTACGTCCAGCGCCAGTTATCGAGATATCCGAGAAAAGAAATTTTCAGATTCGTACGTATTATTTGGACGAGATAAACGATATGGGAAATGTGAGTAGAGATTGTGTGAAAAATATTTAGAGAGTACGTACTTGTAATTTTATAATTTTATATACGTGTTTGAATTTTATAGATACCAAAAGTATCCGTCGTGAAACCAAAAGTCACTCAAAGAATGCGAGAGATTTGCTCGTTTATTATCAATAGTCTAGATGAAATTGATGTGAATGATAACGAAGAAGACTCAATGCCGCCTCAGAGACATGCCGTTCTCATATTTTTACCAGGAATTTATGAAATTGAGGAATTATATAATTACTTGTCGGTTTTCCGTGAAAAATTGTGGGACCTAACAATTTTGCATTCATTAATTTCTGACGCTGACAAACAGCATTGCGTATTTCGAAAACCACCGCAAGGTTACAGACGCATTATACTCTCTACAAATATTGCCGAAAGCAGCATTACGATGCCTGATGTAAAATATGGTGAGTACAAAATTTTTATAAATCACATATCGTT